CTCTTATACACATCTAGATGTGTATAAGAGACAGGTTGAGGGGGGGGGGGGGCAAACATGCAGTGACAATCCCTTCACATTGTGGGGTAGCTATGCTTGCAGGGGTTCCCTCTACTTCTTCTTTTTTTTTTTTTTTTTTTTTGGTTCCCACTACATATGGTATGAAGCGGTAAAGGGCCGCAGGCCAACATGGAACCAACATGGAACCAACAAAAACCGGCAGTTTTTGTTGGTTCCATGAAGCGGCACATCCTATCATCGCTAATGAGGAGGCATGGAGGATGCTCCTCGATAGCATGGTATGAAGCGGGAAAGGGGCGCAGAAATCCAGATGTGCCGAGTGAGCAATCGTAGGAGGGAGGCAGGTTAGGGCCCATGTGTACTTATTATTTCCTTCATCGGGGGGGGGTTTGGAATTTTTGTTATTTCGATTTCGCTTTTTATTACTGCCGTTTTTGTGTATAATTCTAGGTTACCTGATTGGACGTCCGGGACCCCCCTGACCGTCCGGGGTTGTCCGCTCGGACAACCGGTCGGACATCCTCCCCTGGCAGACTGTCCGAGCCCGAACACAAAAAAAAAAAAAAAAAAAGAAGTCCTCCAAAAAATCTGAAAAAAAACTATGTTATGCAGAAACATAAACTGAACAACTTTTGCCTTGGGATGATGTCGAAATTCATTGCCAATTTTAAAATAAAAAATAAGAATTAAAACGCCCCCAATTTTTTTAATTTTTTTTTTGTGTATTTAATTGCTAAAAATGGAGTTGTCCGGGCCCGGATGTTCGGGACCCCCCTGACTGTCCTCCCAGGACGTCCGGCAAGGACGTCTCGCCATCGGACAACTGGTAACATAGGTATAATTACCCCGTCGCAGGTAGAATTACTACTGTTGGTTCACTCTTTTATTATTATTCCGTCGCAAATAGACGCTCTTTCCTCCCCCGGAAATAGGAGAGACTGCACTCGGGGGAATACGACATACCTTAGCAGGCCCCGCGGCCAGGCGGTTAGCTAGGAAGGGCCTAGGCAAACAGAGAGTTTCTTCGAAATCGGCGGGAAAGACGATGTACTTTAGTAGGGCCTGCATTAGGCGGCTGTATGCTAGACAAACCGGGGGGCTATCGGGTGTAGACTACGAAAGTCCGTTAGGCCTACGCTGACGTAAGCGCGGACGTCACAACTCGAAAACGAGGCAGGCACGTTGCACGCGGGACGGAGTCCGCGTGGATTTTCGAAATTAGGAGGAAATACGATACGTGGCGAAAAAAGTTAGGTGGAGAAACGGACTTCGGGCGGGAAGTAGAGTCAAGTTTTGAAATTTGAAACCCCAGGAATTTTCGGACCAGGACACGCACGTGAATTACCTGGGAGTCTGAACGGCAGTCCAGCACGCCACAGCGCTCACGTACGAAGGATTGAGCGGCTGCAGGGCCTACTCGGATCCGACACAGAACTGTTGAGCCAATCAGAGTTAAGAAGAAGAACTAGCTGGTGACGTGCAAGGGAAGGACGATTGCATAAATGAGGGCAAGGCCACATCGGCCCTCATACGCTCGTAGGGTGGCAGAGTACTGGTGGGCCGTAAGGCGCGGGGTTTGTGGTTAGCCTCCTGATGAGACCGGAGCGCACCCGGTTGAAACGTAGAGGAACGCGTGCGCGTTTTAGAGCACGAGTACACGCATATAATTTACTTGCCATATTTGACAGTTCGCGTGTAAAGAGCAATCGGCCATTGCTTGTCTTCTTTCTTCGTGATAGCGTAGCAACCGAGTGAGAGGTGACACTTACATTGGTGGCTACGTCAACAACGGGTGGAACGCAGACAGTGGTACTATCTAGGGCAAGGAGCGAAGTAGCCATAAGCGTCATTAGTTACAGAGGGAGGGAGGTCGGTTTAGCGACAAGTGTCGAACAATGTCGACGCCAAACAGGGGAGATGGCGCGGGAAGTAGTGGAGGAAATAGGATTTGTTTCAACTGCGGACAACCTGGCCACTTTGCCAGGGATTGCCCCGCTGGAAGCAACCCAGGCACACCGCAGCAGCGGCAACAGCAGCAAACGCAAGGGACGTTCGCAAACAATAACAAATACTGACAAAGCAGGCGGGAGCTTGAAGACGACGTCAGAGCTATGAGAGAATGGATGAACATGAAGCTAAAGAAGGAGCAAGAGAAGATAGATAAGACGAGAGAGGAGGAGAGAGTGAGTAAGGAAGAGGATCACAGGAGGCTGAGACAAGAGCAAGAACGAAGGCAAACGGAACTGAGGAGGCTTAACGAAGAAATGGGGTTAAGAATCATCTCTACGGTAGCAAGAGAGATCCATCATTTTCGAGCCGAGGTACGGAACGACATAAAGACAGCGTTGGCGGCCAGAGAGAAGACCCCAAAGGGGAAGGGGAAAGGAAGAGCGAAATCATTGGATGATCACGCTGCGGAGGAGCTCCTGAAGTACGTGCAAGGGGACAATGCGGAGAGCTCCCGCGAGGGAGAAGAACGTGACAGATGGCTTTTCACGCGGAAGAACAGAGGACAAAGGGTAGCAAAGAAGAACGCGTCGTTGAATACATACTCAATGTCAGGAAGAAATACTCGGATATGACGGCACAAGAAATCAAGAAGCTATGCATAAAGGAGGGACTGGACTATGTAAACAAGGAGCAAGGAGTCAGAGAGCTAGTTCGCGTCAGAACGAGGCTGGCATACGAGGGGTGGCTAAATGATGACAAACCAGCGGACTACGCAAGGGAGGAGGACGACCTGGAGGACATAAACGACGAGGAGAATTTCTCCGAGTGACGGTACCAGCCCTCAGATGCGGAAACGTGGGACAGCATGGCAAGGTTGCTACGGTTGAGGAGTGATATCTGGGGGCTTACAGGCTGCGCAAAGTTGCGAATCTCGATTGAGAAAGCACTAGCTGCGTGCTTCGTGTACCTAACCAAGAGGGGGAAGATCCCGTGGGCAAGAAAGGTGTTGGACTTAGCACCGAGGGACCACGATTTTTTCCTACTAAAACAACCTGTAGTGTATTGTCTGTTGTCACCCTGGTGTAAGAAAATTTACGTGGGACAGACAGTAAGAGGGGCGGCAGAGAGATGGTGGGAACATATTAGGTGTACTAATGACGGTGACAACGGAAGGTCACCAATTTTGTATAACTGGCTGCGCCGCTATGGTTGGGAGAAATACATTATTCTCCCCATCGCGACTACGCAGACCACGGGGTTAAGAGCCCTTGAGACAATGATGATCAAGAGGCTCTCCCCCGCTCTCAACCAGTTGGGAGTAGGAAACAAGGGTAGGAAGAGGAGTAGGCCGGGGAAAAGGGAGAGGAGGAAGCAAGGAGCGCTGAAAGTTTCAGAAGATAGGAAAGCACTCATCACTTTCAAGCTGCAAGGGGAAGTCGAGGGGAATACCAGTTTTGGGAAGATAATCAAAGGCGCAAGTAAACGGGGTAGAGCAGTATATTTGGAGAGCAGCAGTGGGCAGATCTGGGGGGAGAGTTGGGCGGCGACAAAGAGAATATATGGCACAACTTCTGTTGTACATAATAGGAAAACAGTATCTTTAGCACAAGCAAAAGGACTGTTGGAAGACGGTGGGACTTTCTGGCTGAAAGTCATCGTGCGAACGGAGAGTGCCCGAGATAGAAGCAAGCATTATCTTCGGCTTCTTTTAGAGGTACCATACAAGCAGAAGGAGTTATGGCTCATGGAGGCCAGCAGATTGATGCAACTCTACACCAGCGCCGACGCCTTCCCAGTAAAGGCAACAAGGAAGAAGATCAA